AACTAATCCAACGATATATGGATTGAAACAATCGAATAATCGATATTTTCATTCGGTAGTTTGTTCCAACAGATATGGAAGTCTACCCAGACCCTTACTGCACCTCACACGTGTAATTTGATCTTGATTTGATCGTGTTCGTAAGAGATTTTGTAGTAACTAACGTTATTAATCTTTTATACACTGGATTAATAATTTTATATTTTTTTACAATACCTAATGTTGAGTCCGTTGGTAAGTAGCACAACGCATTGTAATACTGAGACAGCGATGTCGTGGGTTCGCTCCCCAGCAATGCCGATAGTATTTATCAATACAGTTCACTCTTGTACTGTACTGAGTTACCCCTTGCTTTGCTACATACGATCTATGTACAGGCCCAAGCAAACGTACAAATTTATTGTATTTTAACGTCTTAAAAGTCCAGCAACCCCTCTACACAATAAAAACTAAAACAAGAATAAATTATGTCACTATCTCCAGTTTAAATGATTGTATATGATAGTAAGTAACAAATATTTATTTTCTTCATCGAATACTTATACTGTCACAACAATTTACCATTAAAAGATTTAAATTGTGACGTAATATAGTACACTTTTGTTTATTCTTTAAGTAAGTCTTTTTTAACTAGACTACCGGACCCCATACTTATTGTACAACATGAGGTTACAGTCGATATTTTTTTAAAAAGCTATCAACACTGAAAAGCCAAAGTACGTTTTATAAGTTCTTGTGATTTTATGTTTTTACATTTTATATAATATACAAATATAGTCTAGTCATTAAAGAAAATAGTTGAGTGTTAGAACAGTAGAGACAAAGCACGATGCAGACAGCAACATAAGTTGACCCTCGAGACTAACTTTGTTCAAGACCTCTTTCTTTCGCTGGAAGAAAGATATATACAGTTCATTTACACGAAAATAATTAAGTGATCTTATAAATATATTTTTCATATTTTTTTTAGTTTATTATTACCACTTAAAACATATTAACTACTAATAAGACTGATATTTTAAATTTGTGTATTCTAAATTTATTATTTAAAGCTAGAACCATTTTAATTTTTAAACAGATTTTTGCGAATAGCGTGGTTGGAAAAATACTCCTAGATGAGAAATAATTTATTGCGCTTATAAATTGACTATACAAAAATTGAAAATGTTTATAATACAACGAATTTCTGGGAACCTTTTATTTATTTGCGTACTATGAAACGGATATTTTTAATGGATATGGATAAAGATAAACAGTAAAACTTCTGTAATATCACCGTACACGATGTTTACAAGTACTCTTAACCTAAAATAGAATATTTGTTCCAGCATTTATTTGCTCTTTTCAAGAGGTGCTTTTAAGCAGGAGAAAACATGTTTATTAAGTTTGGTGAAGTTGATGGGATTATTAGCTTTGCTTTCCCCAATAAAATATTTATAACCATAAATGAATTATTTTTCTAGAAAATTGTGAAGTAAGTTTATTAATATTTCCTATGTAACAATTAACGATTTAGTCTTAATTTATTATTTTTATTATGATTACTTAATGAAATCATAATCGTAATAGTATTATATTTTAATTAAGTAATAAAATCGATATTCTTAAAAAAAAATTTTTTCTAAATTTATTACCTACCTTATGTCAAAATACGTACGTTAAGTATAATACGTAAGTATTAAGCATATTGAATGGCGCGCTTAAACCCTTGTTGTGAGATTGGATATGGAAATAGAACTAAAGAATAATATATTTTTAACCTTTTCAAAGAGTTCCAAATATAACAGGGTCTCGAGCAAAGGTGTTGTGAATAAAAAGAAACGGTGTTTGATTTGTCAAATGTAGGAATAATAATGAAATAACAAGAGAGAACAAAGTAAAACCGCCTTTCACTGCAAACTGTCACTTGAAATAACAAGTCTGGATTTGCCTGAGAGTTTGAGAATCTGCTTCTTTGTAAGTTAGGCTTTGTAATATAACGACCCTGTGGAAGTCCTTTGAACTCATTCTATATCTTGAGATAATTATTGATTGATCACCAAAAGTATTTGATGGCATCAAATGTGGTACAAAGTTATATCTTAAACATATTTTTGTAATTGCAATAGAGATCTAAATTCGTATTCACTAAATTGTACATTGCATAAGGACCAGATGTATAATACATAACAAAATTAAATAGTTTGAAAAAGATTTTAAAATTTGTAAAGAGATAGAGTATAATGATTATTTCTCCAAAAATCAGCCAAATATGTAAAAATAACAACTAAGACAACACTAAACTGGGTACTTTCCTGTTAAAGGGAACATTCATTATTATCGATGATTTTTTTCGATATATCGATATTTTTGTTTCCGATCAGATCTATTACAAATTCACAACAACAACTAACTGATCTTGTTTAGGTTAAAATAGTCTATATGGATTAAGAAATGAAACTGTTCTAAGCTAACCTAACATAACCAACTAAACTTGCTGTACCATTTAAAGCTTCCGTTTGGGTTTGATAATAGAAAAGGCAAGCTAAACACGGAATTTTTAAATGTTACAGCAAGTTTGGTTAGTTATGTTAGGTTATTTTTTTTAGAACAGTTTCATATACTGAACAATATTTATCGTAGTTGTCAGCTGATATGTTTCAATTTGTTAATATCGATATATCGAAAAAAATCATCGATAATAATGAATGTTCCCTTTAACAGGAAAGTACCCTAAACGGTATATGATTTAGAGTGAAAAAGCAAAACTAATTACCATTTTACTTAATTTATTGAATTTACTCTATGCGTCAACACTTTTCCAAAATGTAATTGTATTTTACTTACAGTCTACTATTCAGATTAAACATCCTCGTAATCCGACCATGTAATTGTCCATTAATTCCCATTGCATCCATGTAATTGACCATTGATTGTCAATAAGTCTAAAATCACAGAAATATAGAGTAAAGAATATATATTTCTTGTATGTTTTTACTACTAAAACCAGTGAACGGAGAAGCTATATTTCAGTTCTCCATGACGATTTATTCTGAATCAGTTTCGGGTTTCTTCATAATCGAAAACATTCTTCGCTCGCCAACCTCAAATTCAATATTTTTCCAATTCGAATTTGAGTACTTCCCCATATTTCACTAGAAAAAACTGTCGAAGGGTACATCTGGCATGCCTTAAAATATGCATTTGCCAAATTTTACCACATTAGATTAACAAAGGATGTGCAATGGTTTTCATTATATGTTTTAGTAAAATAAAGAATGCAAAAAAAGAATGGTCCAAGTCTAAGCCATTCTCGTGGCATTTGGTTTTCTTGGTATTTAGATGGAGAAACTTCCTCTCATGGAATCGATCCAGCGACTAATCTCGCTTAAATTTGAAGTCGGACATCATAATTTATTACAAATGAACTAGTATTCGCAAAAAATAAATTAAAAATATTTTTTATATACTTTTTTGTCACATAATAATAGCACAGCATAAACAAGTTTACTTTTATTTTTTTCAACTTATTTTATATTTTCTAGCATGCTTTCTAATAAAATGTATTAAATGGCATATAGTCTCAACTGTAAATTTAAAATAACACAAACTTTACACTCTTTATCTGCAGAAGATAATCAAATATATATATGTCATATTTGATAGTATGGTGTTGAAAACCATGTCAAGTGAATGAGATAATATTATGATTATAATGGTGATATCACTAGCTCTTCAAAGTATCTAACAATGCTATTATTGACGTGTAACAGATGTAAGATATGTATATGAAAACAAACAGTAATTATAAATAATTTCAACAACCAACATTTGGACACTGATAATGACTTTATCACACAAAATGTTAGCTAAAAGATATATTTGCACACATCAAAATGTTAGTTGTATTAAAAATTATACTTGCTATGTAATTTACCTTGGTGTTGAAACCATTTTGAAATGGGTAGTAAAATATTTTGAAACTCTATATGACCTTTTTATATATTTGACTTCTGTAGATTATATTAAGAACATATATTAAATACCAACAAAGGTTGATCTCAGCAACAGCTGATACAAACAGTTTCTCGTGTCATAATGAACAAGGCATGTTTCGTAGTTCACTACCTAGATACAACTTAAACCCGTTTTATATATCTCTCTGCCAAAAACTTGCTCAAAACCTTTGTTTCACCATAAAATATAGTGTTCAGTTTCATTTTAAATTTAATGTAAATACAGTCAAAATCAAGTTAAAAACATGTTAAAACAGGAATTGTGAAATAAATTGTTTCAGTTACTATTTCTACGTTATTTATTAACATGTGATTATCGTAGGATCTAACACATGCAATACATGCACACATACTACGATCAGCTGATAGATTCTTGTTGTTTAACAACATAACTAGCGTCTCAGTTTCCTGGTCAGGAACCGATGAGAACCTCTTCTGCGAAGGAGTGGTGGATTGTGGTAGAACACCTCACGTCGATTTTAGAAAAATCATGAAATTAACTTTATATTTTTTAAATTATAAAATTAACTTTTTAGTCATAAAACTAATTTTATAATTTTTAATTATAAAATTTAACTGGCATAACCTAACCTAACCAACCAAACTTTTTGATAATATAACAAAGATGCAAGTTAAAAATCGAATGAAGGTTTACTAATACAAAAAATATTTCTGTTCATAAAATAAAATTATAAATGATTCAAATTCTAACAAAAGATGTACAGTTAAGAAGTAATCGCATTCTAAGCAAAATCTTTGACAAAATTTTTATGTCACCGGTGGAATTCGTCATTCGATCTGGATACCTCTTGGACATCAATCGGACGCTAACCACTACGCCAAGATCACCGATGGTTTCACCCCGTATTGTTGCGGTAATGGTGTTCCCTCAAGAGAATAGTGACGTCACGCCCCCCACTCCTTCGCTAAAGAGGTTCTCATCGGTTCCTGACTAGGAAAACGAGACGCTATAAACAACGTAGGTATTTAGGTAGTAAGAAGAGCTTATTCTTTTATCTGGTCAAGCTTCTCTTTGATGAAGCTCTTGAGCAGGTCGGCTCCTAGTTTGTTTGTGGTTTCAAAGTCTTTCATGGACGACTCGCAACGTTCAAACCAAGCTTTTGTCAAAGCATGTTCTTCAGAAGGGTTGTATACCTAAACAAGATCAAGTTTCAAGTTTCGTTTTCTGTAACTTTAAAAATTTCTAGTCATAAGTATCGGTTTAGGATACCACTAACTTGAACGTTATTGGATCACAGACAGAAAATAATTTTAAGTAGTGTATATTAATTAACAATTTTTGTGCAATGAAAACAGATAACCAAGCCGGAAAATTGTATACTTTAGACTTTGCTCTGAAGTGGTTTAGGAATTATAAACATGTAAACTATTTCTACTTAATAATTTCTTTTCGTGTATTTTTGGTGGTAAAATATTTTTTGTATTTTGCAAGCCCCTAGATCTTTACAGCTAACTTTTATCTATGGTTAGAAAACGCCTTCGATTGATAGTCAAATTTTATTAGCATCCTTTGGAATTGAACTGGCAGGCTTCAAATTTGGTAAGCTTCAAATTTAAGGGCATCCCATCTAACTCAGCCATCTTGACAGTAAATATACTTAAAATGTTTTGAGGATATTGCATATACTTGTAATAAACAATTTATGTAGGAAACGTGTACTTGTTTAGCTATATTTGTTAATTTAAAAGATTCAGGCAAGACTTAAAGCATGTTTATACAAAACACAGACATGAAAACTTTCATTAACTCTGTTTTACATAATGCTTATTTCAGTTGTATTCTTACCTCTAAAACATCGACCAGTGTGACGTAGCTATAGTCAGCCAATGTAAGATGGTCTCCTGCCATGAAACTTTGACCCACCAGTAGTTTTTCGATATTGTCTTGAGCGTCTTTTACTTTCTGCATCTGTTCCTCGGTTATTTCAGACGCGTTGAAATAAATTAAGGATCTCTGAAAAGGAGTAATTTTATTTGTCACGTGCATATAACAAATAATACTTTCATTCAATATTTGGGAGTAGTTATTGTTACCTTTATCTAGGATTATTACAGAGTTTTAGGGGCCTTTTAAAACAACATAAGTAGATATATTTTATTGATGCTAGTATAGTAAATAGACTATGCGTCTGTTCTTTGAAGAAAATCTTGATAACACGAATCTTTCTCAAATTAACAAAAAATTAGGTTTTTTCTGTAGTATTGGCCGTGTAAATAAAAATAAATAAACTTTAGACCCTTACATAGTGTTAATTACTACTACTATAATAATATAAAACCCTGTCTTTCACAATCTATTTAGCAAAATGTTAAACTAGATATTGGCTTAAGGCAATGGATATTTAAAACATTTATTTCTTGAAGTTGCCTAAAGTTTACATCAAATACCTCTTGTATTTTTTATAATTTTTTAAGCATCATTCATATTAATCAATTGTGTAGACTATGGGGTCATTAGTATCCTAGTACCACAAAATAGTGTCATGTCCAAAGTAAAATAGAAAATAATCAGCCATCCATCCAAAAGTATAAAAACATTGTATTAAAAAAACGCATATTGATCTTTGATGTTTGCCCAAAGACTATTCACGTTTTTCGTGCATGGATTGTTTGGCACCTTTTGTATTAGACAATATTAATCATGTTTAACCATCTTAATATTTTAATAAGAAACTTTTTTAAACTCTTCTTACATTTAGGAAAAATCAAAGAATAGCACTGGATAGGCAATTACCATCGCCAATACCAACATATTATACTGTAGTAAGCCCACAGTTAATTTCAGGGGATTAGATTATGTTAGCTTTAAAATTTTTACTCATCAATATTTCTATATGTATCATTTAAGTCAAGAAACCTATTAACTTTACTCACTGCTATTTCCCTAATAAGATAGAACACATCATTGCTGTAGTGCAGCCTTTGATCAACAATTGCTCTCTTCTGCAGGTCTTTAGGATACAAAGAGTCATCTTCGGCATATTTGGACACTAGGTAGGCCATGATGGCTCGACTGCAAAAATCGCAAATAAGTAAATAGTATATATACTTTTTAATTGTAAACTCCTAGTACTATCAAATGATTATTTTGTATACGTTGGACGACCATTGCTTTTGGACCTTGAGATTCGTTTATAGTAAAATTCTAGGATGTAAATTTTGAACACGCGGATTGCAAAGAGTTCTGCGGTTTTTAGTACAGAAATATTTCTTAGAAATATTTTGAAGCTATTTTAAATCACGTTATGTCAAAACTGAATATTGATATAATGTATAAATATTCCTAATAAAATTGCTTCTAAACTACACCAGCTAAAAGTATTATAATTTAGACCATAAGGAAAAATACACTTGGAAATGTCAAATTAAAATCAATCTAAAATCGACAAAATAATTGAAACGATTTTATCTTTCATATTTGATTTTCCATAGAGAATGAGCAAAACGTTTTAACAAGGTAATCAGCCATGTAATGAGTGTTTGAAATAGAGTAAAAATGTTTATTGTTTTCTACCAGTATTTGTCAGTTTTATTTTGAGTTTGTTTATTTATGGATGATTTGTTTATTATATGGGATTAAACACATGAACAGGTATAGTATTTAAGTGCAGTTTTAGTGAGTGGTTTTGGTTCTGTTTTTATTATTATTTTTTTATATAAATGGGTTAAAATTGGTTCTAATACTGTAGAGAAATTGACTGCATTGCATGTTCCTTGTTCAAGAAAGGTTTTCTGAAACTTTAATTAATAATAACTAATAATATCTGAAGACTATTTGAACTTGTTTTAAGATCTTGTCAAGAATTCTTTTACTTTTACATCAAGAGACCAACTAGCCTTTGTTATCATATATTCACTTTGAAAATGTTTGGATTCGATAACAGATGGTTAAACAGAATATTTAATAAACAATTCTGTAAAGTCTTGTTATTTAAACGTTTTCTTTGTACACTTTGCTCTCTTTATAGATGTTACTACAATTACCTTTACTCGTATCAAATGTGTTCATAAACTTAACATCAGTCAAAAAAAGTTTAAATAATAAATTACCAATTAATGCATTCGACGGAAATGAGTGAAAGTTGATTACTGTTTTAAATACTTATCGCGTGGATTAAAAACCTAAATAACTAAATAACCCTTCCAAACTTGATTAAAACCTTAACTAGGCTAAAGAAGTCTTGATGAGAAATTAATATTTAATCCACCCTTTGAGATATTCTGGTTAATTATTTTATAATCAAAACTTTTACACTACTGTTTATTTACTCCCATCGCTTTTTAAATTTTGAAAATGTAATCTCAATTCGACAATGAATTGTGAAACAGTTGGAAGTAAATTTGATTGTGTTTAATATAAATTTATGATTAGACTATTCTTTGGAACATGTGTTTAAGTAGTCTAGTTAGTTAATTTATTAAAACTACAATAATTACCTTTCCCACAGAATGAAACCATCATCGTCAATGACTGGGACAGTATGTAGTGGATTCAACTGAAACATAAAATAAATATGTTTTTTTTTAGTTGAGCAGATTGAATTAAATACTAGGACGAGTGAACTGCAGCTTTTTAAAAGATGACTACGTACTCGAGCTGTTTTATTAGTTACCCCTTTAATTACTTTACTTAACCATTACATCCTATAGCTCATGTTATTCCTTTATACTTTTTAAACAATAATTGTTTAGATTGCCTCTCACAGTTAGTTAAGCAATTTGTAATAGATTGTCTTTATACACAGTTAGTAGTAGGTATTTGAAAGCGGTTGTCTATCTAGGAGAAAAAGAAGAAGAATAGAGGGGTTTACCTAAAGGAAAATAAGAAAATGTAGGTTTCTTCCACATCTGGAAGTAGCACTGGCACGGCAACTTTACTAGAAAATCGAGACGCTGTAATATGTTGTTATGTTGGTACCAACTAGGAGAATGAGCTCATTGACTCGTGGCTTTATGTTTGTACAATCCCACTATCTCCTATCACCGTACCGGTAGTTCAAATATTCACAGTACAAAGTGCAATGTACTTAATCCCTTAGGACAAAAAAAAATCCCTTAGTACAAATGGCAACCGACATCTCGTAATTCTCTCATTCGTTGCTACCTCCAGCTCAGTGATTTGCTGTTCAAAGAGAAGACAACGAGTTATTTTATCTCTATGTTTACTTAGTTACCTTTAAGAACTCGGGAGTGAACTGTTCCTTTTCCCTCAAGTCGACGTTCTTATACTCAGCAGTCAGCCCTAAAGCGTGTATCACGAGGTCCACGGAGCGAGCTGGTGGACTGGGCGGGATGAAATATAGAGTCAGTGGCATCTTGGAAGGTACTGAAAACTTACAAAATACAAACTAAATATTTGTGCATGTCCCATCATTACATCTTAGGACGTTTGGCTCTAGTACGGAAACCAATTTACTAAGTTAGGCTAGACCTAGAGGGTTGTGATATCACATAGATAAAATCGATTGGTAATTTTTGAGATTTGATTATGGGACTGGAGACTGAAGCTCCGTACTCTACCTCTAGACTAATCTGTGCTGATAAGATCTCCCAAACTGTATTTGAAAGTCAAGTGTGTAGCTAAGAAAGTCTACGATTTATTGAAGCAAATCCATAGCATTGTTTGAATCTATTTTAAATCAACAACAGATTTTGGTTCAACCATATAATAATAATTCAATCTATTTCAAGCCGGACTATTTTACATTGACCACGTGCATTGACTTAAAAACGAAATTACATTTAACGAGATGTAAACTAATACTTCTACCATTGCAACTACATCTACATACAATGCGTTAAAATGTCTTTACTAAGCGTACATTCAAGTATTACCTTAAATATTATTTTGATTTTTGTAATTAATACGCATTATAACTAAGCTGTCAAAACCGACGGTTTCAGATTAAGACGAATTACTTTGAATTAGTTTCCCTCGTTGTGGCTCAGACCTTCTCCTCAAATATTTCTACACATTTTATTATTTGTTTCCATTTCAAAAACCCTTTGAACCTCGATATTCATTGCGATATAGTTTATTATTTTACTACACAACATAGTAGGTTTACACTTTAATTTAATTCTTTTAAGTGCTCTTCTTTGGGGCGCATTTTAAGCTGAACTTCGTTCCATGAAACCTGGCTAAACATAACATTATGAATAAATCATGGATTATTCGGAGAAAATTTTTTTCGAAATTTAACTATACAATAAATTAAATAATTAATAATCAGAATTCCGGTTGAATAACAAAAATCGATAGTAAAATAATAGTAATGCATTATTAATCATGAATACATTTAATTAACCAGACTCTTGTAGCCAAACAAAAAGCAATACTACATAAACTTCCCTTACCAGAACTCCGTTAACAATTGGACCGTTCTCGTTCACTAGTGCAGACTACTCCAGTCAGCTGTTCGTGTGGTGGGAGGGTATCACTTACAGATAGTGTTACAACAATGTAATATTGAGAAGGCCAAGGCTACAGCGACGACTAGCCAGTTGTAACCTGCAATTACACACACGCCATCTTTAAAAATTCATCAGAGGAGTGTGGAAATAATTTACAAGATTCACCACTCGTCAACAAAATTAGCCAATAGAATTGAGGGAATTTGTTATGTGAACTGTTACAGTGTGCAGTAAGACACGCCTACTTGACGTGCGTGAGGGAGATATTAATTTCATATGGGAGAGCAGTAACAGATGTTTATGAATTAAAATTTCACGTTTCTTAACTCGTGGAAGTAAATTAGTTAACCACGTTGTATGAAAAGTAATTGTTTGAATGATAAGTGTAAACTGAAGAATATGTAAAGTGTTGTAGTTTGCTTGTTTATGAACATATTTTGATCAAATTTTGAAAATGCATTTATTTATTACTAAACTATTAACATAAAAAAACACTTTTTTAACCTTGTTGTTGCAGCAAACCTAGGTTCTCCTCAAACTAATTCTATTTAAATAGGGGATAAATGTGATATCTTTAAGGAGACATTTTAGTGTAAATCCAATCAGGCAAATGGAAATTCGCTTAGTCTGCAGGTTTTCTGCAGCGGGGTTATTTAACTATAAAATAATCAATGCATTAATAATTATTGTATTACGATTCCTCGAATAATCCAGAATGGAATATTTTACAAACACATCTTCCTCTTGCAGATGCGTTCTAAGAAATGATTTTGAATAATTCAGTTATGGCTCCATCCCACACGCCTTCCACAGTTTTTCACGCTTATAACATGAAATTCTATTATCAAGTGGTACGATATTCTTCGTATATTTTGATTCGAGTTTTAACATGAATTGATCATACTCAATATATATTCATCCTCGTTATGGGTTCAGCTGATGCCAATTTAGTTTTAGTTCGGTCCGTGATTAATCAGAATCAAATGAGACTGTGGGGTTTATTTACAATGCATGGTTTCGAGAATGTAGCGTGTTCAATGCGTTTGGAATATAAATTAAAAACGACCGCCTCTTCGTAGGACTAAGTTCAGAGGATACCGAGGCCGTTATCGCGTTGGGCAGTGGGCAGACCTGACCGTTGACCCTACACTTCACTACACAATCACTGACACCACACTCCACCTCTCCTCGTCGATCTTCACTTTTTTATATAAATTAGGCCTACAATTACCTCACTTTGCACAACGATTTTTTTTTTTATTTCATTCCAGAACACTGAAAATTCAGTTCCAGGCAAGACAAAATTCTAAAATTTTAGAACGTAGACGAATATTTTTTTCCCCAATAAATTTATTTTTGTCTCCCATTAAAATTAACTTATTGCACCTCGAGTCTACGCACAGGCCCTGTCTATGTAGACTTTTTCCTTTGTTATAGAAGGTATTTTTTTACATTTTTGTTCACTTTATTTCCACAGTATATATTTGTTTATCTAGATATTAATATTTGGTGTATTATTTGAATCATTCGAATCTTTTGAATTATGTATAAGTAAAAAAATACAGTGTACTGATGTATATGATTAATAGGAAATCAAATATTATTTTATTTCATTTCGTTGGATACCCGTTGTTGCTGTTTCGTCAAAACGTTTGCTCTTGGGATTTTAAAATTAAATATTTTAGTTCCGGTTCTTACCAAGATGACAACAGTAACAACTTGTCTCTCAAGCGTGGTAATGAATTATCCAAAAAAAATTCAAATACTTTACAATGCACTTGAACTATTCGATGAAACGTTCATAAACCTAAATCACATTTCCACTCACATCGACAGTAACAATTTCCATTACTTAAGTACCAAGTGTTTAATGTAATCGTGTACCGCTTGTATTACGTTCAATAGAATCGCTGGTAATTAAGTGCACAGTAAATATCAAATAAGCTTGGTGACACAAATGCGACCGAGCGTAAAGGGTTAATATGATTGGATATGAGGCAATAGTGATAATTAGTGTACTCGGGGTGTTTACTGGACAATGTACATATACTTGATTATAATCCTCGGGCATCGGTGTTGGTATACAATTTGTGGCTATTTAACCAAAGCTTTTGTCAGGACTCAAACATTCGGCCGGGTCATAATTGTAGTTACCAAGACATTACTGCAAACATTTTCCAGTCATGACGTTTCGGCAGTGGAGAAATACTTTTTTAGGCCTTACATTCAACATTTTTTTTCCAGGGGGGTCCTCCGAACCCCCCTTTTCTGGGGGTATTTCCATACCCCGGTGGTCAACCCCCCCCCAAAAAAAAACTCTGGGACCGCCAGTCTGCAATCCAAACCCGTCTTCAGGTGAAAGTTTATGTTAAACATCTAACTGCATTAAGTGTGCAATAAAATTAGTGTGGTTTTTATAAAAGTGTAAGTGAAGTATTCTTACTTGCTTACTTACTTGCTTGTAAGAATACTTCACTTACACTTTTATAAAAACATATGAATCATATGATCATATGAATTTATTGAAAATTATTGTGGTTTTTATAAAAGTGTAAGTGAAGTATTCAAAAGCCCTCTGTTTTGTATCAGCCTACTAGGGAGTATAAAGGAGGTATACAGGGTTATATGATAGGGTAGGTTGGATATTTTGACCTGCCCCCCTTAGCCCTTTTTATCTTTCTTTAGCTCTATCCCCCACTCTCTCTCTCTCTTTCTCTCCCTCCTTCCCCCCTCCACCACTCATTAAATCACCCTATTACCAACAAACTCCAAGGTCATCATCACTTCAAGTACTTCAACTATCGACGCGACGAGTCAAGGTTTGTTGTGTTTTAGTCGTCATGACATTCCAGTCCTCTTCAGCCTGGAACTGATTGTGTTGCTACCTGGATTTTGGGTTCAGTGAGTTGAGTTCCCCCTCTACTTTGGTCTAATCCTAATCACTTCATTCCAGTCCGCAACTTCGTACTGTATGTTTGGTCTGCGTTTCACCTGTTGAAACATTCTATTTGAAGGTAAGTCAATGTTCATGTTCACAATACTATTTCCATTAGAACCGTTCACGTATTCATTCTCTCTTACACTTTCATAATATAAATAATTAAATTAACTAAAACATTAAGTGATTGTACTATCAATAGTAATAGTTATTTATTTTTATATTGTAACTTTTTAGCTCCAAAACTATTATTTGGCTACAATCCAGCAGAGTCAAAGACTCTCATTTAAAATTATAAAATAAGACTTGTTATCAAAGTTGACTTCTTATAGAGGTTTGCAATAATAAATAACTTGTGATTAGGGGTAAAATAAATTCATGGAAATTTGAAAATGACACTTGTATTCAAGTGTGACTTACTATCGAGTGTCTTGTTAGGATCTTGTTATCGTGGTTCTTGTTATTGAGGTTTCACTGTATAACCATTCCATTGGTGACTAGACAGATTAGAACCCAGACCCAGCCCACCACCCCTATTGCAGCAGATGAAAAACAGTGTACAAACACCTAATTTATAGTTTATGTATCAAATTTACATAAACTTAACTACAAAAACTCTAAACTCTGGTTGTTTAGAGATTACCAGCATCTCTCAAAATAAAAATAAATAATTTTAAAAAGATAACTAAACATGTTTGATTTGGTGGTGTAAACATGAAGTCATTTAGATACAGAGTTACATTACACCTATCTGCACATAAAAATAGTTATGATCGATGACTTATTTTTGTGTCACTAGTTCACACACAGATAATTAATAAAAATATACATTAAACATCAATTTCACAGGTTTAGTCCAGTGATAATTTATTATGTAAGAAGTCTGCATGATATATTGTATTTGAACGTCAATTTTGTGTTGTTTTTCTTGTGTTCTTTTGGCTTAAAACTATTTAAGCATTAAAACTCAAAACGATGAAAACCATGTAGGCCACATTTCCAATTTATTTTATTACATAAATATACATTTTTGTTCATAGACAATTATTAACATAAAGTACACAATGAACAGAACATAATCTAAATCAATCAGTATGGATACTGAACTTCATCCTAAGACTTTAAATAATCTGACACTTCTAAAATTAAATTAATAATATGGACCCAGCAACCCTAATTATTTAGTTATCCCCTCTACTCTGCCCTGCTAAGCACAGTTGTGGTAACTGACATCTGGGTAAAATTGAGAAAAAGAGGGTAGTATATTTATAACTATGCACTACAGTCAAAAATTGACTTTAAAACATTTTTTTGGTCTCATCTTATGTATTTTTTAACGCTAAATATTTTTCCAAAATTATTTTCAACATTAAAACATTCTAAATACTTAAGAAATTAGATAATGCTTTAGTTCTTATCAATTACAATCAAAAATACTTGGCCATATAGTGGCAACTTAATTTCCCTAAGCCAATATGTTGTATCTCTGCAGATACCACGAACTGGTCTAGCAAAATCATGGTTATTGTTTCAAATGCAACAAAATATAAGGTTCCCAAAATAAACAAAATTTCTGGATTGAAATATTTGATTCTGTTTTGGCAACAAGTTGTTGAATTGTTTTTCTGGAAGTTGGAGAGGATACTGGTATTTAAATATATGAATTATACCATTAGCGATGGTATTATAAATGTTATATGATTAATTAATCTTCCCCCTTAAATTGTTCAACTACCTACTAAAAGTTTTATCAAATAAGTTAGAAAATTAAAATATAAAAAAGTATTTGTATTTATTATTAATTATTATATGTTAAGCAGGTTCTATCATTGTATCTAGTATCGCAACTATCACAACGTTATCGGTAACTTATCACAAAACTCGATAACTTATGCATTATGAACTTACCTATTCAAGTAATTCAATACTGTATTTATAATACAAGCACACGACACTACGTATATGTATGTTAATTCATGTAGGTTCGTACATAACTGGTATTAAACTATAAACAATTGTATTAAATATAAA